AAGCACATTGCAAAGGACAACACAACTAGGCTGGCAAAGAGAGAAGTGTAACTAGATTGTGATCTTCCAGTCAGTCCTTCCTGGAAGCAGGAATTTAGTTTTATCTGTGACTAATCTGAAACCAAATGTCTGTGCGTAGCAAAGCGGTTTGGCGGTGGGTACCCACACCTGGGATGTCAGGGAACTGAGGCTGCCTATCTCCATTTTCAGGTGTATTTGATGTTGGATCTCCTGCGCGCCAATTTATTCCATCAGGTTATTGACTCACGTGGTATGGATGTTCCCTGGCTTCTGCATAATGCATTGAAAAGCTTTAGTTTCATTTTGATGTAGAAGTGAGAACGTTCTTAAATCTGAGTTTTCTGGGAGAGGAGAAAGGGTTTTCTTCCATGGTCTCATGATCTGAAGTTATTTCCTTTTAAAGCAGTGGACTTTTCTAACACAACCTTAATATTAGATATCATAAGGAGCATGAACAGAGGGGAAAAAAAAAAAGCAAACTCCCTTAGACAAACATCTACTAATTTGCAGTTTGCGCAGATCTGCACTAAGGAAAAAAAGCATATTGGCTGTGGATCCGCTAATGAGTTTAGCAGAATATTTCATTGGTCAGAGAGCTGCAGAGTGAGCTCCAGCCCGCGGAGAGCTGCGGGGCAGACCTGGTTCCCAGCACACAAGTGTTTTTTGGCACAGGGTGGGCTCGGTTTGTACACGGGTGTTTTGAGCATGTATGGAAAATTGTGTGTGTGCATGACAGCTGAGTGTTGCCACGAGGTTAGGTCTGTAGCCGGATGAGACCCTTTTGCGGGTGTAGAAGTGAGTAACACCCCGGGATGGAGTATTACTGAGGGATCTGCATGTCTTGTACCATTGAGCCGCCAGTGCTGAGCCTGGAGGTTGTTCTTGTGCTGCCCTGAGTGGTCACGGTGCCTTTGCATCCGCTCATGGGGAGCATAAACCCCACCCGGCCGCACTTGGCGTTTGCTTTGCATTGGTGTAACAAGAGTACACACTGCACTCTTTTTTTTTTTTGCTGGCTTTGTCCTGTGTGCTATAAATAAGCCTGATCAGGAGCAGCAGATAAACTCTCTGCCCTGCTGACAGAAGTTTCGTAAGTGCAAAGGTTGGGGTTTATTTATTTACCCGGGGCCGTAGCTGCTGTGCAAAACTGCCTCCTCGGCCAGGATGCAGCTCTGCCTGGCTGGGCTCCCTGCGGGCTGAGCTCCCCTCTCCTCCGGGGCAGCGGGTGGTGAAGGGAGAGGGTTTGTAGCTCCCATTCCATTGGGATCCCCAGGGGATGGGTATGGTGGTCCCCCACGAATGGGAAATGGCCCACGGGATGGACCTGAAGAGGTGGAGTGATGTCCATGTCTTCCTGGCACGGCCAGTCCCTGCAGCCCGTGCCGACAAAGCTGCCGCATCTAATGGGGGCTTGGCACAAACAGCCTTTTTTAAAGCGGGGAAAAATCAGTTATGGGGTGGATTTGGCTCTCCAGGTGCCCTTAGAAACAAGGCGTTTAGCCTGATACAGTCTTAGAAGATCAAATCCTGAACTGTCAAAAGCAGTACGTTTTCTCCCTGTGCCCCTCAGTGGCTTCTCTCTTCAGACCAGGCTGTATATCCCAATTTTGCATGGATGAGCAGTTCCCACCGGTGCTTCTCGGTGTGAGCAAGGATGCTTCAAACTGGCCTTGTGCTGTCCCTGTGGCCGTTGGGTCTCAGTCGAGCTCAGGAGCACGCTGCTGGGTGCGTTTGCTCAGCCGACCTGGTGTGAGCATCCTCCTCCCAGCCCAGCCGGGACGGTCGTGAAATCTTTTTTCCTGCAGGACAAGCATCTGCATTGGAAACCACTACCAGAGCTGGTATGGACCAGCACGAAGATTGTAATGGGCACAGGACCCACGCTGCTTGCTCCCTGGCAGAGATGAGGTTTCATGGGACCTTTGGGGTCTCAGCCATCGGCTAGACAGGCTGCAGGTAACTGGTCTCCTGGGCTGGCAGCATAAGAACTCGGCTTTTGGCATAAGGGAGGTGCACGCTTTTCCCTTCATCCTGGGTGAGATGCTCTGTTCGTACAGCAATGTCTCCTTGGAAGAGGCCCCGTGGCCACAAATTCTGCAGGAGCTGAGGGGAGTGGGGGATCCCAGCCCTGGCAGGGGTTTCTTTTTCTGCTTCTTTTCCGTTATTTAATATTTTTGTCAGAGAGGGGAACCAACTCAATCTCGCTGGCTTCTTGCTGTACAACAGACTTACAGATGTATGTAAAGAACAGGCTCCAAGATGAAACCTGGGGACAGGCAGAGGATTTTTGGGCTTGAACCACCTTGTCTCCCAGCTCCTGTTAGGCAGCGAGGTTGTGTGTATTGGCAGGACTGAGCGTGCAGTTGCTCTTCAGGAAAGCACTGATGATGCTCAGTCAATTCAGGGGGGAAAACTGCCCTATGCAGAATGAACGCGCAAGGTGACCAGTCCCATTCCCGCTGACTTTGGGGCACAGTATCCACCTCCAGGTCTGAAATGATGCTCCTTCAATTGGATTTTCAGACATGGGCCACACACAGCGTCTTGCAGGGTCACAACAGCGTCTGATTGTTTAATGTCGTTATGTGTTCTCACCCTCCTAATAGCATGAAGAGGACTGATCCTTTTAAAGGGAGGAGGCTGTACCTAGAATGGAGTCTGCAGGGGAAAATGCTGAGGGGGGGGGGGCGGGGGGGGGTGGGGGGTGTGGGGGGGGGGGGGGGGGGGGGGCGCTGGGTGGGTTATTGGGAACATTGGCAAATTGGCTGCCTCTCTCCAACTTCTCTGGAGAGATTTACTGCCAGGTGAGGCCTCTGGTTAACACAAACTCGTGGTTTCTGCAAACCATGTGGCTGCGTGTTTCCTCATGTGACTTAACTTGATATGGTTGAACTAGTGAAATGTAGTTTTTAGCTCACGACAGCAGTGTGATACACCCTGGGGGGAGACACCAGTGTTTGGTCTGGTTTTGGATCCCATGCAGCATGGCTCTGTAAACCAGAGCCAAACCCTACTGAAGTCAGTGGGGCTCTGCACAGTTCCCGTGGTCCATGTATAAAAATACATTCCAGTGGTTGGTCTTTGGAGTTCTAGGAACAACTACGCGGGCCTCCAGCCATTTGGCTGTCAAGGAGAGCCATCTTTTATTCATTGACGTAACACAATATTTGTGTGTTCATGGATGTGCATTTGCACAGGATGTAGAGGAAGCAAAAAGTTCTCATGTGTTGCTTTGGGCTTATTTCTAACACAGTTGCAAAATGCCCCCGTAGCATGTTCCTACTGCAGGAGGAGATGCTTCCCCAGCCCGGGCACTGCACAGCGCAGCGGCTGCAGTGCGTCTTCTGCCCTGGCCAAGCAGAGGCGTGGGGGTGGAGAGAGAGTTTGCTGCACATCTGTGTTGGAAAACAGCTCCTAGCATCGGGAGAAGCTCTGAGGCTACTGCTGGGGCCTCGTCAGTCCAAAGCTTATTCTTCCCAGGCACTTCTAGAGCAATCTGTCTCCTGCAGCAGGTGAGCAGTCCCTGTCTGGAAGAGAGTTGTTCATGATGATCTTTATCCAAGAGCCCTAAGCCCTGCCAGCAGACTGCCTGGAAGATAAGGAGTGATTGAATATTGGATGGGGAGCTGCTGGAAGGCACAGTGTGGGCAAGGAGCAGTTGCAAGCACTGGATGAGGGTGGCAGGGGGGGCCTTGGCTGGGGCAGGGGGGATGGCAGGGCACAAGCGGTGACTTCCAGATGGGCGCTGGAGTGGCTGCTGACGGGGGTGAAGGTGAAGGAGGAGGCCAGGAGGTGCAGGAGCAGCCACGGTTTGGTGTGGCACCGCAGACAGAATCGGAGCTGGGAGTCCTGCAGGACCCCCCTGCCCGCAGCGGTCCC